CATCTCACGAAAGGTAAATAGGCCCTACTTTGACCGCTTGTATGCGTTAATTTGATGCTAATTAAATACACATGTAAGCGGTTAATTTCGAGCGAATCGGGTGCTGAGGGGAGTCTGAGAGAGGTTACAAAGCCTCAACAGCACGAACACGAATCAAACAACAAACAACAAACAACCTGCTGGTTGGTAGTGTTCCGCAGCCCATAGACAAAAACTCCACCATCATCAGCAAATAGACGATATTATTCAACAGATGTGGATGTAAGGAACCACATGTATAAGGCCTCAGTGAAAAAACTGCCGTCCAAAACTGATCAGGAGAACCTTGAAAAGAAATTTAAAAGTTGGCTTCCGGAGAAACCCTAGGATTCATTCTACTTTAAATCCTGTGCACTGTCATCTTCATCAATCGATGCCGAAAGCAGCAGTGATGAAACAGATGAAACTTGTATGGGAGATGATCTTCTGTTCGCTCATCAAACTGCCTGGCAGAAAAATCTTATGATCCGTTGGAGAAATGAAATCACCCTTCTTGATGCAACATACAAGACAATGCGATATGAGCTCCCTCTATTTTTTCTAGTGGTGAAGACAAATGTAAATTACATAGTTGTTGGTTCTTTCATCATTCAAAGGGAAACCACAGCTTTAATACAGGAAGCACTAACAATCTTCCATGACTGGAATGCCAACTAGAAATCCCAATTCTTTATGACTGACTCTTGGCATGAGGAGATCCATGTCATTGAGAACACATTCAAAGGCAACCAGGGCTCGACACTAACTTTTCAACTTACTAGCCAAGTGGCTAGTGACATCCTAGATGCTTTTAGAAGTTACGACGATTTCAGTCAGTTTACTAGCCAAACTGGCCAGTGGAAATTGAAAACCACCAGCCAAAACTGAATTTCTACTAGTCTGTGGCTAGTGGGCTACCGTTAGTGTTGAGTCCTGGGCAACAATGACTTAAAAGGGGGCTAATGTTTACAAAGGGAGAGAACACTTACAATGAAACTGTAGCAAACTAGACTTATTCCCCTGGGAGAATCAAGAGTATGAAAACTTTAAAATTATTCCTTTTTCAATCAAAACTTTGTTTCCCTTAACTTGAATTTTTTCACTAGAATGTACAGAGTAAGACATTATTTAGAGAGGGTGACCAACTTCCAGGTTTCATTGATGGTCCCATGGCCCTCTGTCTAAAATTATAGCTTAATATGAAATTTTTAAATCTTTATTAAAATAACAATTGAAATTATATGAATGAATTAAAAATATAAAAATGATGGTAGTACAGTACTGCATGACTATTGTGGCAATTAGAAAAAGAGAAACAAGGAAAGCAGATACTGGACAGTAGGACAAGAATGGTCCATAAATTAAAATTATTCATTAAAATAAGCTGCTTCAAAGTTGTGAAGGAGTTACAGATGTTTTGCAACTC